GCAGCAAATGCTTTCCGTCCATCAGACAGGTTTCAGACAATGCACCTGATTCTCCACCATCTCCTTAAGAAGAGAGGATGTAAAGATGTTTCTTAAACTGCTAGGCCATATGGCATCATGTTGTTTTCTGACTTCATTTGCCCATCATGATTCAGACTCTTCCAAGGTTAGTTCAAGTCAATACAGTATGTCACTGAGGGTGACAATTCCAAGTCAAAATTTAAACTCTTGGAAAAGATGGACAATAAAAGAAAGTGTGGCAGACTAACATTTGTTGTTCTAGTGATGCTCACAACTCCCAACCAGAGGTATCCCGGAAAAACACCTCCACGTCCAGGGAACTCCTTTGCTCACCTGCTTTTTTTTTTTTTTTTTTTTTAAACAGAAGAGCAGACGTGCCCTTTCAGGGAGCCTTGTATACCTTCGTTCTACAATGTCCAGACAGGGCCAAATGGCAGAAAAATCTCTTCAGGAAAAGCAATCGGAAAAAGCTATGCGAGTTGCGGAATGCAATTTGCATAGCTTTTTCCAAAAAACTGCAATAGCGTAGACCTAGCCTCAGCCTGAGGTCAGATTCCAGTTTACATACATGCTAGAACTAAGATTGATACAATTATCTTGCAAGAGATTTCTACCACTGATTCTTCCTTCCAAATTCTTAGGGACAACTCCAGAGCTACCTACTATATAGAGATGCAAGGTGTTGCAAGATAAGACCTTTAATGTCAAGAAGCCACAAGACTCTGGGAATGGTGTATCCAGAATTGTATCAGTCTGATAGCTCTTCATTTTCCAGGGAATAACAATCGTTTAGCTAGTGGACTCACAAAACAGAAATTCATTAGTGGACCCAATATTCCAAAAGTGGCAGTTTTGTTTAATTTGAATCAGAATAGGAGATATCGAATTTTTTTCCCCTTGATCAGGAAAGAGTCCAAGATCCATAGTGGATGCTTTAACGATTTGGGGTGCCATCATTTGATGTATGCTATACCTCTTTTTCCTTTAATTCCAAGAATGTTAAGGAAGATAAGAAAAAGCTTGGGTTTTATACTATAGCTCTTGCTTGGTCTGGTTATTTCTAGTTATTGGATCGCCTAATACTGTCCAATTAGTTGTTTACTGGACTCCTTCTTGAGAGCAACGTCTCACAGAATTACAGTTTAATCCTGTACCCAAATTCAAAGTAGCTACATCTCATGCTTTGTATGGTTTCTGGATGCCCTTGTTAGAGAAAAATCATCAGTAGTACAAAGTATCTTATTTCAGGGCAATGATCTCATCAAGCAGTTAATAGATTCCTGTGGAGGCCTTGTTTTAGTTCTACATCTTACAAGAACAATTGTTCCAACAGGTTCAAATCTAATTTCCAATTAAACATCCTCTTGCATCCCTAGCACTCTACCTAATTCATGTTTTATCAATAAAAGTAGCATTTTTACGACAATTACCTCAGAATAAAAGAACCACAAGCATTAATGATAAACCGTTCCTACACAGTTTTCCATAAAGACAGGTAACCATGAGATCGCAACTATCTTTCCTCCCCAAAAGTATTATCAGATTTTCATACTAATCAATTTATTCAGGCATGGGTCTTCTTTTCATGATCTCACTTGTCTTCAGCTGCATCTCTTTGGTGTTTAAAGATCATTATTATACTACCTACAGAAAACTAAAATTTTGGTAAGACAAATTTTTTTTATTACTTATGATAATTAATCTAAATGAATGTCTATTTCATCTCAAAGGCATTCAAAAGGGATATCTGATCATATTAGGACTGCATATGATGTTAACGTAATTAGTTCTCCAAATACTGACAATCAACCAGAGCACAAGCAACACTAGGGCTATGTCTACACTGGCGGGTTATTGCGCAAGAAAGGCCGTAGTGTCCACATTGCCCACCTGCTCTTGCACAAGAAGATTGCACAGTACAGCATGGTAAGGGAGGGCTTCTTCCTTAAGAGCTATGCACCTTTTTTTAACAGGTGTAAGCTCTCTTGCGCAGGAGCTCTTGTGCAAAAGGGCAGTGTGGATACTCAGCAGGGATTTCTTGCACAAGAAAGCCCTATCGCTAAAATGGCCATCAGAGCTTTCTTGCGCAACAGAGCATCCACACTGCCATGGATGTTCTTGCAGAAAAGCACAGCTCGCACATGGCAGTGTGGACGTTTCCTTGCACAAGAACCCTTGTGCAAGATGTCCTTGCGCAAGAAGCCGCCAGTGTAGACATAGCCCAATAGTATGTCTAAGTTAAGTGCCCTTACTGGAGATTTGCATAGCAGCTGTCTGGACTTAAGCTTATAACCTTATAAAGCATTATTTGTTAGTAAATACTTGCAGCAGATTTGACCTGTTTGAGGAGGGCAAATTTGCAATATCTTTTCAAATAACAGCTAGCTTGCTAATCACCATCAGTGGGAGCCATATGTGCAGAACTTGAAGAAAAAAGATTATTTATCTTACTGTAAATTAAATGTCTTGTGCATCCCACAATCCATCCTCCTTCCATCCTGACTTGATTACAGGCAGTCCCCGAGTTACGCGGATACGACTTACGTCAGATCCGCAGTTACAAACGGGGATTTCTCGCCCCGGAGGACTGGAGTGGCGGGACGCCTGGTCCCACCGCCCGCCTCCTCCGGGGCGAGAAAAGCTGCTTCCCGTCTCCCTGGTCTGCTGGGGGAGCCAGCAGACCAGGGATCCCCATCAAAAAGCTTCCCTGGAAGCGCCGCGGGTCCGGCCAGGTCCTCAGTGGCTTTGCTCAGCGTCTCCCTGGTCTGCAGACCAGGGAGACGCTGAGCAAAGCCACTGAGGACCTGGCCGGACCCGCGGCGCTTCCAGGGAAGCTTTTTGATGGGGATCTTTCGAAAATAAAACCCTTTTTCGAAAGATCCCCATCTAAACTGCTGTTTTTCTATCAAAGCCCCATGTCAAAAAAAACTGCGGCTGCCATTATGCAAATGAAGTACGGGAAATTTAAATTCCAGCTTCATTTGCAATTTCGAAGTGTCTAATTGACATTCCTTTTTCATGAAAGGGATGTAGTCTAGACACAGCCCTAATATGAAATCCTGACCCTAATTAAGGGGTATTTTGTCATTTACTTAAATAAGATGAGAATTTCAGCCCTGTTCTTTGTATTTGGTGTTAACGCTTTAAAGTTACATAAAATGTTATTAGATACTTTGAATATATTGGCCAATATTTAACTGCACTTAAAAAGTAAAATGTGTATATTTGTTTAATGTAATCTTCCACTAGAATTTCTTCAGTTCTTTATAATGGTAATAAATAATCGTATGTATAAACACCATGCCATTTCTCTGCCCAGCTATTATCATACTGAGAAAGGTAATTGACTCTACATAACTTGTGCTTTCTTAAGAAACTAATTACTTTTAACTTGTATCCACTGAGTGACTTTAATGAAAAGTGTTAAATTACTGGATGCCAAACTCTGAAGAGAGTTGATATACAGACAAGAAAACTAATCGCAGCATCATGAATGTCCATAATTACTATCTCCAATGAAAACAAGCTAATTTAACACAGCTGGAAATGATATTTAGTTTAAGTGCAAACTGAACTTTCTGACGTCAGATAGCCCCAACTGTCATTATCATTTACATGTACTTCATGTAGGCTGGGGGAAAAACATATTCTAAGTTTTAAATGATTAGCTGAATATTTAGCATTCAAATATCAGCATCATGACACTAGCACAATGGCAGTGTTGGAAATCAGGCAGACAATATATGAAGGTGATTTTTTTTTTAAACTCAAAGATAACTGAAGCAAAAATATGGTAAATGGATTTTGTCATTGCTGTAGGCCCATGCTGATGTTTTCTGTATAAAGGTCTTAATACTAAAAGGATGGGTATGCTTTTGAAAAGACTGAAGCGCGTGTACATTCTAAGATGGTACTTTCAGAGCCACTGTGTTTCATTTCACTTCTCTAAGCTGGCTTCTGCAGTATGTCAGCACTGAAGCTGGGAAGTGATTCTCAACCTGAGTAGACACACTCTGCGTAAACTACATACTAAAAATACTTATGACTGTATTGTACTCAGGTACTTCCTATATTGACAGAGCGACCCTACAATTCTTAGCATTCTAACTCAAGCAGCGCTAGCAATGTGTGTCTGCCCAAGCTGGAAGTTCAGCTACTGTGCAGATATACCCTGAGACAGGAAGTTCAAACCTGGAGAACTGAGTTATACCCTGTATTCACCATGGTGAGATACTGTCTTTAAGGGCAAAATTCACAAAGGGACTAGAAGTATTGCAACATGGAGTGTTGCGGAGCTCTGCTGCCCAGCTGGGAGGTGGATGCCAGGCTCCCCCTGCAATGTATGGGTAGAGTTAGGCACTTACAAAAGATTCTCAGAAGTCAGCACTCTACTGGGTGTAGACCTACCTCAGCTAGTCAAGAATAAAAGGCCAGGGGGAAAAGGGTGTACAGAGATGTCTGACTCTCCTATGATCTGACAGGCTGAAGTGAAGCACGTCTCTCACGTGTGAACTCTCCCCTGGGGTTAGGCCCTCAAGCCAAGTAAGCCCTTTCTCACAGAAAATCCAAGAAGTAAGTCCTATCTCCCTGTACTCTAACACAGAGAGTTAGGGCACTCATTTGGGAAAGGGGTGACTAAAGCTCATATTTCTCTCCAAAATCAGGCAAAGCAGGGATTCAATTTGAGTCTCCCACGTAAGTGCCCTGACAACTGGAATCTTAGATGTACAGAGGCCTACAGTGTTAGGTGGCAGCCAAGCAGGAGTTTGGGGAATATTGTTTATGCCTAAAGACACAGACACCTCAGTCTCTGGTGTTCAGTTACAGTGTTTTAAATTTCACCTTGTCAACAGTACAGGGAATGTGCTGTCATTATTTTATATAAATAAAATTCTTCCTTACCATTGATTCAGGGCAGCATACAGTACAGCTCAGAAATATTCTTTTAATTGTATTATCTACCATCTCTTCTTGCTCAGGGAGATACACTTCTGAGAGTGATGTATGGAGCTTTGGGATCCTTCTTTGGGAGACTTTCAGTTTAGGAGTATGCCCATACCCTGGAATGACGAACCAACAAGCACGAGAACAAGTGGAGAAAGGTAATTGTTACTTATAGGGTGCAGCCATGTACAAGAGATACTTTATAGACCTTTTGGAAGACAAAGTTCCTGAGCTTAACAACTTAAACTAAATCAACAATTTTCAATTAGGAAGTGACAAACAATATAACCAAGCAACTGCAGCAAATGCTAGGTAGGATCCACAAGTCTGTTGTCTAATTTTCTTTGTCACTTGTTAAGAAATCCTTGTGAAGATTAGGGTTTATAGGTTTCTGGGAAGGACAGTGGAGCTAGATGGATGAGAAGATACAAGTATAGTGAGTCATCACAAAGTTGAGGTACCTTATAGGGCTTTATAAAAGAAGGCATGAAGGATAGAGTTGGAGAACATAAAGGATGTGGTTAGTTGCGTGACTTGGGCAGCACAAAGGTCAGACCAGAAGATGTTCTTATCAAGTAAGCTGCTCCAACTCTCAGCTGCTGCAAATACCAAAAACCTATCTATCTGCATTTTCTTTTGTTAAAGCTTTCGCATTTGGAACAAAATTTTAGAACAAAGATAATAAACAACTCAATTTGAATTAGCTTAAGTAGTGAATCCCAGCTTTATTTTCACCAATTAATCAAAAGTAGATTAATATAATTAGGTTATTAGATCTCTGAATGCATTACTTGTTCATCTTCCATAGTGATGTCTTTCAAGCTGATATAACCTGCTCTGCACCTATAACCTGTGTCAACTTCTATAGAGGTTATATACATAACAGATTTTATGTTGCTTTAAATTTGTAAAATGTATTATTGTATCTAGTGTGTGTTAACAAGACTAGAACCAGGGGCAGCTTTTTTGTCTCTAGTGTGTGAGCAGCTGATGATTTGCTTTTGTGATTTCCTGGGCTCCTGCACTCCAAGAAGTCAGAAATTTGATTTGGTCACAATGCAGAAGTAGGGAGCAAACAAAAGAAGTCTGCCAAGTGAAAGAGCAGAATAAAGCACAGACAGTGAATTGAGGCGGAAGCTGGGCAAAGAAATAGAGAAGGAAACATGGGCAAAGAAATAGAGAATCACAATAGATTAGAGCTGGAAGAGACCTCAAGTCATCTAGTCCAATCCTGTGCGTATAGCAGGACCAGCCCCAACTCAATCATCCTCACTAGGGCTCTCTCAAGCCAGGCCTTAGAATCTGCATCTGTAGAGGTTTTTATCACCACCCTAGGTAACTCATTCCAGTGCTTCACCACCCTTCTAGTGAAATACCTTTTCCTAATATCCAATCTAGACCTCCCACATTGCGATGTGAGACCATTGCTTTTTGTTCTGTCAGCAGTAACCACTGAGAAAAGCCTCTCTTCATCCTCTTTGGACCCCACACTTCAGGTGATTGAAGGCAGCTATCAATCCCCCATACCTACAGACTAACTAAGCCCTCTCAGCCTCCTCATAATTCATGTGCCCTAGCCCCCTAATTATTTTAATGCCCTCCACGTGATTCTTAATATGTCCACATCCTTTCTGCAGTGGGTGGCCCAAAATTGGACACAGTACTCCAGATGTGGCCTCACCCGTGCCAAATACGGGGGAATAATCTGTTCCTTCAATCTGCTGGCAATGCTCCTACCAGTGCAGTCCAGTATGCCTTTAGTCTACTTGACAACAAGGGCACACTGGTGACTCATATCCAGATTCTCATTCATTGTAATCCCCACATCTTTTTCTGCAGAACTGCTACTTAGCCAGTCAGTCCTCAAGCTGTAGCAGTGCATGGAATTCTTCCATTTTAAGTGCAGAATTTTGCACTTGTCCTTGTTGAGCTTCATCAGATTTCTTTTGGCTCAACCCTCCAATTTGTTTATATCACTCTGGATACTATCTCTAACCTCCAGCATATTTTTCTTCCCAGCTTAGTATGATCTGCAAACTTGCTGAGGGTACAATCCATCCCATCATCCAGATCATTAAAACAAACCAAGTCCCAGAATCAACCCCTGGGGCACTGCACTTGTTATCAGATGACACCAGCTGCCATCGAGGCACACTGAGATGTTGATCACTATCTGTTGAGCCCAACGATCTAGCCAGTTTTCTATCCACCTTATTGTCCAGTCATCCAAACCATACCACTTCAATTTTCTGGCAAGAAAACTGTGGGAGACCGTATCAACAGCTTTGCAAAAATAAAGATACATCACATTCACCACTTTCCTAATATCCACAGAATGAGGAGGCACAAGAGCCTT